AAATTGTGTGTGCTAGAAGCTACTCTTGGAATGGCGGGAAAATCTGTTTGTGAATTAAGAGAGAGACAGAGAGAGAACGCGATGTTTTTAGGTGTGGAAGTGTGCTCTGGAATCTGGGTGGGTCGGTTCACCTCGCTTCCCTTCGACTTCCAGTTACTAGCGAATCGGGTTACGGGCTAAAAAAGTGGTTTCATATTGGGCCTCCGGCCCATGAATCTCTGACTCTTACTCAAGACGTGGATGCCATATGCACTGCCACGAAAGAAGTGGACTCAGTTTGATCACCAATACTTTCGCAGTCATAAAAAAGAGAGGAATTAGGTGAAAGCTGAATTCCTCTTTTTGCATAATGGTTGTGGGAATAATACATCGTCAAAAAGATTAATTTATATAATTCCGACAAGTCCCCAAGATTTTCACTTTTCTCCATGAAATCCAATGGCTTTGATGGTTTAGTCGGCAGGCAAAATTCACCTATGTTTTTTTATCTCTAGTTTCAAATTTTCACGCCAATGGCCTATGTTTTTTTTATCTCTAGTTTCAAATTTTCACGCCAATGGTAAAAGTTAACTTTTGCTTGCCAAAGTGTTGTCTGTCCATTCACAATGGAATTCAATACCAACACATGAAAATATCACACTCGTTTCGTTTCGTTATAATTCTTAAAACTATATCCAAGGATGACCTCCATTCTCTCATAAATAGTCTCAGATTCTGAACAAAACAGAACAGAACATCACAGAGAGGCTCATATATATATTTTTTCTTTCTAGTTTTATTCCAATGTGTGCAAGTCCAAGTGTCTACAGTATTGTGATTGTGACTGCCACGTGTTAGCAAACCAATAGTCTGAGATCTGAAACAGAAACAAACAGCAGACATGCACTGAAGAATCGAAAACCAGGGCAACTTGGGTAAGTGGTAAAGTGAAGAGGCCTATAGTTTTTCACATTTTCCAGTGTTCCAAGAAAAAGAGAAAAAAACCAGGGGCCACAAACAAAAAAGAACAAAAGAAGCACACTTGTCAACATATAATCTGCAGGCTAGGCTACTTTCTCTCACCCCCTTCATCCCTATATATGGTATACCAACCCCTCCCCTGCTTTCCACTTCCACCTTCCTCATTCAGTTTTTCTGATAATCTTTTGGTTCAGAGAAGAAGAAGATCATCATCTAGCTAGCAATCAAAATTTTCAAAATGGAGGCAATTCAGTCTTGGGTTGCAGAGCACAAGCTCAAAGCCATTGGTGGGTACACCCACCGAGCAATCTAATCTAATCTAATCTTTTCTCTCTCTCTCTCTCTTTTTGCACTGCAGCATATAAAAAGTGAAATAGGTTATGGTTTTCGATGTTACAAATTACAGGAGCAATATGGGTATCAGGAATTGGAGCATCTCTGGCTTATTCACGAGCAAGAACACCTCTCAAGCCAAGCCTTAGGCTTATACATGCTAGGTAGGGCAGCTCTTTAATTTCAATATATTTTTTTCTCTTTCTATATTTTTTGTGCTTGCTAAATTTATGATATGTTGTTGTATGTAGGATGCATGCACAGGCCTTGACACTGGTTGTCCTATCTGGCGCAGCAGCATACCATTATTATGAGAAGCATGAAGCAGACCGCCAAAAAGAAAATTAATCTTTCTTTTCTCCAAATTAATATGCAGCCAGCCCAGCCACCAGGCAGGAGCTGCCTAAATCAGAGCTCCATCAGACCATTTCTATTAATTATTAAGTTGATCTTAGTTAGGAGTTAATCTGAACATTTCTTATTTCTAGCTACGCTGTCTCTAAATGAAATGTTCCGTCTTAGTTTGTTTATTTTCCTATGTTTTCCCCTGTTACTAGTTGTTGTATAATACATTATATTATAAATACCAATATTGGTTTATCAAGTAAATATCCGATATGTATATTGGGGGGCAATCAAGTGAATTGGATTTACCTTTTTCGTAACACAAAAATACGATTGTAAACACATAAATTGTACAAATAACTCAAGTAATTAAAAGTAGTATATTCGATTTGAGGTTTTGTATTGGAATCCCCCTTCCTTGATGCATCCAGGTCCTTTGTCAAATATTGGGCTAGAGACCATACAACACCAGTAAATGTCCTGAACATCATGAATCATATTTGGCCCAATCATATTGGGAGATGCTGTAGAAAGCAGCCAGGCTGGCTCATTTTTGGGTCAATGAAATGAAGACTAATTGAGGAAGCTTTAGAGTTGAAGTAGCTTCTGGATGTGGTTGCCTCGCACATATTTGCTGTGTACTTATAACGATGGATGGAAAGTCCTTTTCTTCTTCCTAACATTCTGATTCCTTCACTTTCCAATTCCCATGGTATTATTGTTTAAGCACTTAAATTAAAGGGTTAATTACAGTTTAGTTCCCTGTAGTTACACCCTTAAGACATGTTAGTCCATACATTCTCAATTTTTACAATAACATACCCCGGTCTTTTAAATTTGTTACAATGTGGTTCTACCGTTAGGTTTCCATCAGATCTCCCCATTAGTTGCTTAAGTGGCACTATGAGTCTCATATTTTCTTTTATTTTTTTAATTTGAAATTGAATAAAATATTAAAACTCAAAAATATATATATATATATCTCTCGATATCCCAATACCCCGATTTCTTCCCCCCCACCTTCATCCTGATTTCTTCCCCTAGACAAGAAATTTCATGTTGTAAAGTTACAGCGTCGTAGCGAATTGTCAAGCTGCCTGAAGAATACCTTCCTTCTCAACACTCCCAGAGGAGAAGAAAGAAGAAAGAGAATATATTTTGTAACAGAAAGAACAAAGAGAAAAGAAAGAGAAATTCCATCAAGCATGTTATCTATGTATACACATCACGGATTCACATCTCATTCAAGAATTGCATAATTGAATACCATAAACCTACTAAGGAGTCGATACTTTCTCTTCTTTTCCAATGTGGGACTCAAGTTCATCTATTAAAATCAAACTCCAACAAGTAATTGATATAATCAAATCACGTTGTGACTTGGATTTAAGTTTCGAGGCTAAAATCCATTTTTGGAATACTAAAATATTTGGGTAATCAAACTAAATTTCTAGGATATTTATTAAAATATTCAATACTAATTATTCACTAAAGAAATAATAACTAAAACATAATTACTAATGAAAGTATTTAAATAAGGCTAAGATATTATTTAATTAATAAAAAAATAATTTAAAAAGGATATTTTAAGGGTATCGCCGGGCGGCTGTACTCTATAAATAGAACATAACATTATAGCCGTGCGGCTATACCCTATAAATAGAATTTTAACAGCACAGCCGCGCGGCTATACTCGATAAATAGAATTTTAAAAGTACAGCCCTGCGGCGATACTCTTTTAATAGAACTTACACAGCCGATCGACTGGACTTTATAAATAGAATATTTTAAAAGTATAGCCGCCCGGCTGTACCCGTTAAATAGCATAATCTTAATTTCTCTTTTTCAATTACTTTATTTAGTAGTTATGTTTTAATTACCATTTACTTAGTGATAATTAGTATTTAAATATTTTATTAAATAATAATTACCATTTTTTAAATAATATAATTTATGAAGTTAATTAAAATATTTAATTATTCACTAAATAAATAACAATTAAGACATAATTACATATGAAAGTAATTAAATAAGGCTAAGATATTATTTAATTACTAAAAATAAAATTTAAAATAAAAATTTATTGGACCTAAAGATACTAAATATATATATTTAAAAAAACACTCCTGACGAACGTTCGTCTGCACAGGTTTATCCCGGCGAAATGTGCTAGATTAGACCTCTCCCTACGACATTTCGTCGGCTAAGGTGAGTTTCGTCGGGAGAGGTCTAATCAGCAAATTTCGCTGGGATAGATTTGTCCCGACAAACCTTCGTCGCGAGAGGTTTTATTGTTTTTTTTAAATAATTTTTTAAATTTTAAATATATAAAATTAGTTTCTTACTTTTAGTTTTTGGCCAACTTCTTTAGTTTAATATATGTAATTAAGTAATATCTTTAGTTTAATTATTATTTCCTTAGTGAATATTTAAAACTCATTTCATAAATTACTAAATAAATAGTAATTAAATTTTTTAAATTATTTTGTGGACTTTGTTTTTAATTTTTTTAAACAAAATTAGTTTGGGTAAATCCAAGTCTGGAACCAAAAACCCTAACTTCCAAAATTGTTTCAAAACCTTTCTCAAGCCTCAAACCCTAACCATAAGCCTACTAAGGAGTAGATACTTTCTCTTCTTTTCCAATGTAGGATTCAAGTTCATGTGTTTCAATGAAACTCCAACAAGTAGTTGATATTATCGAATCACGTTGTGACTTGGATTTAAGTTTCGAGGCTAAAATCCATTTTTGGAATACTAAAATATTTGGGTACTCAAACTAAATTTCTAGGATTTTTACTAAAATATTAAATACTAATTATTCACTAAAGAAATAATAATTAAAATATAATTACTCATAAAAGTATTTAAAAAAGGCTAAGATATTATTTAATTAATAAAAAAATAAAATTTTAAAAAGGATATTTTAAGAGTATAGCAGAACGGCTATACTCTAAATAGAATTTTAAACTTCGACCAAAAAAAGAAGAAAGAATTTTAAACGTAAAGCCGCATGGCTATACACTTTAAATGGAATATTTTAAAAGTACATCCACGCGGCTATACAATTTAAATAGCATAATCTTGATTTCTTTTTTTCAATTACTTTATTTAGTAGTTTTGTTTTAATTACTATTTACTTAGTGAATAATTAGTATTTAAATATTTGATTAAATAAAAAAATTAAAAATAATAATTCACATTTATTAATTAATATAATTTATTAAATTAATTAAAATATTTAATTATTCACTAAATAAATAACAATTAAGACATAATTACATATGAAAGTAATTAA